ATTCATTATTCAGTTCCAAGACTTGGCTAAAACTATGTCACCAAATCAAATGCTTGTGACTTCTAGGCATCTGTGGGTTGACTCCTCTTGGTCCCATGCTTTGTGCCTTCGACGCTGAGCACTTTCATTTAAGGCAGAGTGCCGGAGGCGTAAGGCAGAGTGCCGCAACTGGCAAGGCGATATCTTGTATTGTCTTGGCTGTCTCGGCTACTCAGGTCAAAACCAGAGTTCTACTTTTGTAAGGCAGAGTGCCAATAATAGTTCTTGGCACATTTGAAGTTTGCCGCAATTGAATTTTGCTGTGGGAGCTGGCACATTTGAGCTTGCCGAAAAAAGATCTTTCCTTTGCAGGAATGGTACAACCACGTGTTGGCAGCAACTTGATGGATTCCGCTTCTGAGCTGAATGCAAAAGCTCTCAGGTGATGATGTCTTCGACACTGGTTGGCTACCATGGCTGGGCTGCACGGTCAAGGCTGCAATGCACGTTGCCAGTGATTGCATCTGAAGCAGTGATTGGTATCTGGCCATTGATTCCATGGCACCATGTAGTCTGTGCCACAACTAGTCACTAGTGGACGCTGAGTTGTTAAATCAGTCTTGCCTGCTTGACTTGACCTGTTACTTTCATAAGGCAGACTGCCGGAGTAGTTTGCTCTGTCACGGCCAGACATGGGAAAATCAAATCAAAAGAGTGCTCGCACGGACAGGATGGCACCTACTATGCTACCGGGAATGGGAATAGAAATGATGAGCCCAATGTCAATGATGAACCCGTTCTTGCAGCAACAGTTCCTCCAACAACAGCAGATGATGGCCAGTGCTGGACCTGGAGGGCAGAGTGCCAATGGTCCTGGTTCCGCCGACAGCTCGAGTTCGGAATCTTCAGATGAAGAAGTGAAGAGGATGCACAAAGAAGATAAAAAAAAAAAAACAAACAAAGAGCTCGGCTTCAAGCTCAGATGCAGTGCAACAAAACTGGGAGCAGCTACAGCGGATCCAGATCTCATTCCGAGAAGTGTTGTTCTGATTCGGCAACTCCCCCTGGCTGCTTGTCTTAACTTTGCTCGAAGTCAATGATCCCTGAACCCGAAACCTATGGGTCACTCCCTCTGCCTTCCAACCTTAAACTAATATGCCTGAGGTGAAGCTCAAAGCTCTGATTGAGCGCATTCGGAGAGAAAGGGATGCCACAGTCACCGCTGACCTGTCCCAGCAGACAGCATTGCAGATGTTTTATCTTGTGACAACGACAAAACCCATCACTAAGATTAGTGAACTCAGGGTGGACATGAGATATACAACATGCTCGGTCAACGAATGGCGGATGCTCATGATCGTCAGGTCAAGCATCAAAGCAGCAACTGGAACCGTATAGCGGAGCCAGTTGTGGGAGCCGGTGTAAATATTACCGAAGATACCGTGAACAGAGTTGCTGTGGAGCGCGGATGGGGCAGTACATGGATGACGCAAGAACGTACCATCTATGGCAGGCGTCGAGCAAGGGCCAAAGCATCGATGGACACTCAAGGACGACTGAGTTTCAGTTCACGTCCTGCATCAGGCAGAGTGCCAGGCGGGGACTAAGGCAGAGTGCCAGGGGCAGAAACAAACAACTCTGACCCTGTGCCAGTGTCGAATTCGATTGAACCCCCGCCTTCCTCCTCAGAGGCTGCTGCTCTAAGTGTTCCTATTTCTGCTCCAGGCCAGGAAGCCGCCAATGGACGTGAGGCTGCAGGAAGGGAACAAGGCAGAGTGCCCAAAGAGGTGGAAGGCAGAGTGCCACGGCAAGTGACTGCCACTGTTAGTGTGCATCAGGTAAGTGATCCTGGGCCAACTGCCACTGACAGAGAGTGCCTTCTGACTGCTAATCCAGCTCACAATGTGGATGGCAATGACTCAGGGCCAGAACCATCAGATGAGATCACATCCCTCCCTGCAGACGAGGCGGCTGGGCCTGTTCCCTGCGCTCCACTGCCACCTCAACCCGTGGCTGAGCCAGTGGTTCCGATGGAGGCGGGCACTACCTCAATTGTGCCATTCGCCAAGGCCAAGTCGAAGGCCAGGGCGATGCCACCTGGACCAAACACAGAAGGCATAGCGCCTGACGCCCTTGGGCAGGAAGGCAGAGTGCCCGATTCACAGGATGATGCTGAGCAAACCTTTGATGCCGAGGGGGAAGATGATGATCCGAACGTGGAGAAACCGTCTCTGTGAACCGGTGGAACCAGGACATCTGTCTGATTTGCCACAATGAGATGCTGGTGGAGGAGGCGGCATGTTTCCCTTATCAAAGAAACATTTATAATTGTAGACCGTAATTGTAACCATGCTGGTTGTACCTGTGTCACTTCCCACACACGTACTTATTGATATGCTTTTCTCTTGTTTTCGTGGAATGCAAGCAGTGGAAGCGCTTCTGTGTGGCCACCTCTACCACAGCGACAGCATCACAAGATATTGTGAGTCCAGTGGGCGCAACAAGGAGAACGCCTGCCCTCTGAAGTGTGGGAACTCATCTTCCAATTTCTTCTGTGCTTTTGGCAATGGAAGGGCCATGGGCAGTAACGAATCTGTTCCTGTTCATGATGATGATGATGATGACGTGGACATGGTAAACCAGGCGGCTCAGATCGTTGATGATGACACCCATCACCGACAACATGCTGAGGTCAACGGCCCGGTTGTGAACTGATTGCTTGATGACCTTTATATGGACTCTTGTCATGGCCCAATGACATATTGGAACCCTGACGATTTTGCTGGTATGGCATTGAAAATGCCGCTGAAGGCATTTCTGAAGGGAGTGCCAAGGTTGTAACAAAAGTTCCTTGATTATTATTATGTGTGTTGGTTTGAATTGGTGTGTTGGTTGGTATCTGGCTATGCTCGCAGGAATTCTTAGTTCTCACCACAGGTACTGATCAACCTGTTGTGACATTTTGCTGGTATGGCATTGAAACTGCTACTGAAGACATTTCTGAAGGCAGAGTGCCAACTTTGTAACATATGTTCCTTGGTTTTTATGTGTGTTGGTTGGATTGGTGCGTTGGTTGGTATCTGCCTATGCTCTCACGAATGCTTAATTCTCACGACAGGTAATGATCAACCTGTTGTGACAATCTGACTGACTTCACACTGTTGGGTGGGACCCAACAAAGGACCACGGAACTGTGCAAAGGGGTGCCTCCGTGACCTTTTAAACGCCGTGCTTCGGAGCTGCACAGCTGTTTGCTTGCCACTGTGGGAGATTTAGCGTCCTAGAGCCAGGGGCTTAGTGTATGAATGTTTGTTACATTCTAGGCCTAAACCCACAGTGGGTGGGTTGTGTGAGATGTGTGGCTTTTTGACAAAATCGGCCGGATAAATCTTATTGAATCTTATTGAATCTTGTGGAATCTTATTGAATCTTATAAGGCTACACTACAATTGTGGCATACCCGGGACAAATCTTATTGAATCTTATTGAGTCTTAATGAATCTTATATCACGTCAGACACACATACAATGGTGGTATCCCCTGGGGGAAATCTTATTATTGTGAATCTTATTGAAGCTCACAGACAACACTACAATTGTAAAAAACCTGGAACAAAATCTTATCGAATCTTACTAAAAGTATGGAATGTGATAAGATTACATTACAATGGTGACAAACCCGGGGTACAATCTTATTAATTTATTGAATCCTACGGTTGGGGTTTATTAAATTAGTGTAGGCGTTACGGTTGAGGGGTCATGGTGTAGGGTTCAGGGGGTGACACACTCTCCTCCAGGGGAACCTTAGGAAGGTCTATACTATATAACGAAACCTTACATATGTTAAACTTCTTTACTACCTGTACTGTATGTCCTTGAACCGAAACCCTTTAATCTAAACCTATGGCACTCTGCCTTCGAAACCCCATCTAGCAACATGATTGGTATTATTGAATAATTAACATAACACAAAAGTATTGATCGGCATATAGCATAATCAATAGCATAGTGTATGGTTACTCGACTGATTCCTGTCTGTTGCATGTGAATGTGAAACTTGTGATGCCTGCCTGCAGCTTCTTGCTTCTTGGATCAAAGATAAATTCGCCAAACTTTGACCTTTGAAAGGCAGAGTGCCCAGACATGCCTCCTCGTCGTGCTTCAGCCAAACCAAAAGCCACACGAGCACAAAGAAGGGCTGCCAGGCGTGTTGCTGATGCTGCAACGCGGCCGCATGGCCCACCAAATGGTCCCCGCCACCAACGCCTGTTAACCTACCCCTGGGCCCCCCGCCTCCCGCCCGACTGTACATCAGTTTGATATAGGCCAAGCTGTGGCCGAGACGTTGGAGATTCCCGACACCCCGATCATGGTCCGCTTCGAGCCGAATAAAGAAACTGTTCGGACTGGTGAAGTTGTTCTGGTAACCCTCTCGGTTCCGACACCAGAACAAATGGAAAATTGGGGGCTGAATCGTACTATTTGTGCCATGTGTTTCTGTGGGGTTGAAGGACTCGCAGACATGTGACGTTTTCGGTCTGTTTGGCTAAGACGCCTAGCCCTACCTCTAGCTTAGCCATGGCCCTAAGTCCTAGGTCCACCTTGAGCCTTGCCTTAGCCCTACCCAAGCCTGCCCCTGGCCTAGCCCTAGGCCTACCCCCAGGCCCACCCCAAGCCTTACCCGAGGCCTTGCTGTCAGCCTACGGCTCGGCCTACCCTTTACCCCTAGCCTCTACCAAGGTCTAGGTCGACATTAGCCTAGAGTCGGAGCTTCTTTATGGTCTGTTTACAAAATCAGATTGCATCCGTCACGGACTGGCAGAGTGTGCCACTCAGGCAAACCAGTATTCTCCTTTACCTACATCATCCTTCAAACACTCTTTTGGAAACTGTGGCTATGTCAGCCACTGCCGTGGCGCAAAATCTTCAACCAAAACCCTGATAGCATGAGACACCCAAGTCAACCTCAGACTACCTTCACACAGCACAGGTATAATGAAGCTCATGCAGGACTCAAAGAATTCACGCCACAAGCCCCCTAAGGCCGCTGCGAATCTCCAGTGCCTGCCTGTACAGCGGCTCGGCTTCCTCATAGCGGCCCCGATCCTGCCACTTGGTATTGTACCAGTTGTGACGGCCGGGGTATGGGTCAGAAAGGAATTGGCACCTCCTGCGGGGCCAGGCTGAATTTTGAGCATCATTTTGGTGCATCGCTCTTCTCAAGACTTCACCCAGTATTGCACCCTTCTGTCTCGCGCTCGCAAAAGCCCAGCTCGAGGCCTGCAGCAGTCCAGCCAAGTTGTTCATCGAAGCCAGCGTGTCAGGATGCTCTTCACCAAGTTTGGCCCGGCCTCGGGGTCTTATCTCGTGTCATGCGCACTGCATCGCTTGAATCCATCACGAGGCCTTCAAACCTTGTGGATCTCCCGCCGTAGCTTTTCACACGACAAGTTCTGGATTCCACTGAATTAGGCTCCAGGGTCCGGCGGCTTCAGGCCTACCCCCGAATAGTCAAGCAGCACACCCCAATTCGAAAGCAGACCCCAGAACTCGTTCTAGCCCAAACATCAGGAGGCCGGGGTAGTCCAAGGACTCGCAGACATGTGACGTTTTCGGTCTGTTTACAAAATTAGGTTGCATCCGTCACCGACTGTGAGAGTGTGCCACTCAGGCAGTCCAGTATACTCCTTTGACCTACTTGATCCAAGAACGAAGCTCTCCCGGAAATTGTCGTCAATATTATGTCGAAAATGGGCCTGCCAACAATGCTTCCTGAAGGACAGTCTCCAGAACTCGTTTTCGCCCGTAAAGTCACCGGAGGCGCCGGAGGAATCGCAAACATGTGGCGTTCTTTCTCTGATTACAAACTCAGATTGCATCCGTCACCGATTGGCAGAGTGCGCCACTCGGGCAATCCAGTATACTCCTTCACCTACATCTTCCCGAAAATGCTCTTTCGGAAACTGTGACTGATGCCAGACATGTCGCTTATTTCATGTCAGCCACAAGTTTGGCCTTGCCTCGGGGTCTTATCTCGTGTCATGCGCACTGCATCGCTTCACATCATTCTGAGGCCTTCAAAACTTGTCGAACCTAGTAGTAGCCCATAATTGGGCGCGTTGTGAATTTGCGGCTATAACCTGCCAGCAGTTCGTCCCGATGCCCCTCACAAGTTTCGGCGAGCTTTGTACCAAACAGTGTGTTGTGCCTCTCAAAATTCGTCCCCGAACCTTCGACCTGTTCTGCCGAGTCATTGCACTGGTTGGCTAGTAGTTGTTCATATATGGTGTTCAGCTTGCGGGACGGACGGTTCTGGAACGGACCTCGATTGCCTGGCTGTCTCATTCCCCCCGAAGGAACGATGACGGGCTTGCGCTCGTGCTGAGTGCTCATGGCATCTAAAGGAGCAGCTGGAGTTCGCATGGCTTGCGAAAACAAGGCACGTGCCCAGCTCCGCAGGATTAAAACCTCTTGGGGCATCTGGCTTGGGGCCTGTCTGTGGCACTGATGTACGGAGAGCTCTGGGCACGGAAGTCGGGCTGAGGCTCCGGCGGCGTCGCAGACACTCTTGGAACAGCTGCTCCGCTTCTTCGCGCAGGGCGCGGCGCCGTAGCCTCCTCGCGAGCTCGCCCATGCAGTCCAACGTGATCTTCGCATCGTCGCCCAGCTGTCGTCGGAGGTTGGCCAACCGACGCCGGAGCAGTCTCAGCAAGCCATCCGCCTCGGCGCCAGCGTGCTTCACCCTGCCAGAATCGTCTGTCACCTGCACAACCCAAACATCCCGGGCGGGATCCACTTTTCGGCCGCGATAGTCCTCTCCCAGATTGATCTTGCGCTCCTTTCCCGTGTCTGCGTCACGGACCATCTTCTGGGCCAGGTCTGGCCTGAGGCTGGAAAAGCTGCCAGTGACTAAATAAGTGGCTGGAATGTAGCGCAGGAGAAGACCCTTAATGAGGCTGGAGTGTATCGATTCTTGCGCCTCGACCACCCGGACTACACCGGACAAGTTCATACGAGTATCTCGGCAAAAACAGCTTGCGGAGGCAGCTTTCAAACAGAAATCAGAAGGCATGGACTGTCTGCAGGCCTTGGCACGTTTGTTTTTCAAAGATATTGTACGCGAGCTCTCTGGACACAATGATCGGGATACAGAAGGCTGCGCGATGGCCTCCGGCGTTGCCTCTGCCCCATTCCTCCTCCACCCGCTGAGCCTCTGGGTCCGCTGTGTCACCTCAGATTCACCGCAGATGCCACAGCGGTGGCCAAAAACACGCAGGTCCAGCCCAGCAAATTGCATCGATGACCCGGGCCCCGGGCGCAAAGGACTCAAATTGCTGTAGTTGTTCAGCAAGATACGAGTGCGGGAGCCCCATACCTTGCTGCAGGCGAGTTCACGGCAACTTGTCTGCGACCGTGTCTATGCTTGCCTACAGCACATGAGTGCAATACAGCCAGCTGTAATGGACGATGCAGGAGGGGCACGCACCGTATATCGGGCATACGAAGCTGTCCTCATGGCCCTAAAGCAAGTTAGGCAATGTGGCGCACTGAACAATGTTTTGCCAAAGCGCGGCTGGTTCATGCTGGGTACAGTAGACGCCCTTCCCGAAGTGGGCCCTGGAGTCCACCAGCGATGCAAAAAGCTCGGCGGTGGTTTGCTCCATGTCGGCCACATTGCGAAAGGCCAGCTCGTTTGTAAAGTGGTACAGCACGCAAAGGTCTCGTTGATCAGGGCGTTCTTGGCCCTGAGGATCGCACAAGATCACCGCGTGTCGCCACACGCTCACCAGACCATCCGGCGCTATGTAGTCGAACGTCCGCAGATCGCCCAGGCTGCTATTCGAGTAGAGCGAGCCTTGGTAGACTTCGCCTTGGTGGTTGTCAGACACGGTCAGGTTCTCGCTGCGGACAGCTGCGATGGTTGCTGAAACCTTCAGGCTCTGCAAGACCCTGAAACACCAGCAGGCGCACACCGTGGCGCTTGAAGCCTTCTACATCAATCCTCTTTAGTCTAAGGCTCGCACCCGTCAAGTATGGGCCACGGAAGTACTTCGAAAGCTCACCGCGGCCAAGGGCCTGTACTGAGCAGACCAGGCCAATGACGAAAGCAACTGAAGCCGCCAAAGCAGCAAACGATGCCTCCCGAAACTCAACCCTGCTCGGCTGCCCTACTTTGGCGAACGAGATTCGGGGAAAAACATTCCCACATGTTGTGCAACAGCTTCCACCTAGAAGGCCGAGAACCCTTCGGAGCGGCTCGAAGTTCAGAACCCTCTGCAGAAAATCTCCGAACCTCACCCTTTGAGTACGTTCCATTCATACAGGGACAAACACAACATCCAGCTTCGTTCTATGCTACTTCCTCTCGCCATGACTGGGCTCTCAAAGCAGCCTTGTCACCCCAAGGACGTGCGTTTGTAATGCTCACAGGCGGTCTTCCTCTGAACCGAAGCCTCCTCCGTGCGCAACCTCTACGAATCCAAGCCCCTCCGGACGGTGCCTCGGCCACGGCCGGGTCGGCCTGGCAGTGCCCGCTTTTGGCAAGGCGACATCTGTTCTTGTTGGAGCTGGAAAGCTGCAAGCCCTTGGGCCTGAAGCCCTCTTCGAGCTTGGCACGATTGCAAACTGATCTGGGTTTAGGGTTTAGGGTTTAGGGTTTAGGGTTTAGGGTTTAGGGTTTAGGGTTTAGGGGTTCTACTTCTTGAAGCTGTTGTGGAATTCGTGGCACACACGTGGTCCATCTGGGGGGTGGGTGCCAGAAAATTTGCTATACTATGCTACACTCAGTGAGCAAACGGCACAACCCGACCCTGAGCCCGATAAGTCGATCGAAGCCTTGCGCAGGAGGGCAACTAGCCCTCATGTTGGAGCTGCCGAGACTTCATCGGACTCTATAGGTGCCTAGAAGTATCTTTGCGATGGCGATCGCAGTGTAGAGCTTGTACACGGTCTTCTGCAGCGTTTACAGATGATTGTCTTCAAACCAAACACCGACTATCCGAACCTGGAGCGCCATTCCCGGCTCGATTTCACGACCCGTGCAATATCATCACAACTTCTGTGCGGCCCGTAACGGGCTTGGCCTGTGCATGCGTGCGGGCAGTTTGTCGGATGCAGACCGATCAAGAAAACAACCCGCCGACCAAGCCTAGGTACCAGCGCACGTCCCGCCCGCAATTCTGGCAACTTCTCTTTGATCAGTCTCCGCGACTATCCCTTCTGCAACTGCGACAGCAGAAATTGGCAGAGCCTAGCCTTAACCCCCAGACCGAAGTCCCCAAAGAGCCCGAAAGCTCCAATTCCCACCATGCCTCACTCGAAGCACCGGCACTGGCCTCGGGTGGGCAAGTGGACATGGACCTCATTAATAATGTTTCGTTAGAGAACTCTGACTCTTTCTCATGTGCACTTGTTCATGTTGAAATTTTCATGTGTTGTCCAATCCGCGACATCTTCAACAAACAACCCAAGCTTCGGCCCTGCAGTGCGACTGAAAGACACTGTATGCAATTTGTTGGACTGTTGTTGGCCCTAGATTCAAGATCATTTTCATGCTGCCCAATCGCAGTCTACAGTGCCTGCCACTGTTACGCGCAGCAAGGCGAGGCGGCTGGGGATCGGACACCGGCACCCATGGTCAGGTCGGGGCACCTGAACACGAAGGAAGCCCCACCTCTTCGCCGTCGTCCCTCGTCCCTATAAAGCTATAGATGGAACCTTCATACCGATCTATCCTGCACAGAACTTGTGGGCCCCCAGTCCGAGACCAGGCCTCACTTTGCATCGCAGCGCCACAGCCTTCCTACAAGCCTAAACGGGTGCAAAACACCACGCGCTGAACCTGGAACCATTAACGTAAAGATCTCGGCCGCAACTGATCCACTAAAAATCCAAGTTCCAAAGAACAAGCTCTTCGAGCTTCTCTGAACAAACAAACAAACCAACACGCAAACAGACAAACAAACAAGCAAGCAAACTAACCAAACAAACAAACAAACACACGCTAGCACCATCCACTCCGGACGGACAGATGGATTCTTATTGTCACCTGCATCACAAGATGACAAACTGCCTCCGGAAACTGAAACCAGAAGGCTAAACATGCAGATGCCCATGCGGTTCTAAGCTCGAGCTTCCGGCTCCTGAAGCATTTCGCATCTCATTTGACGATGGGCCTCTTGAGGTCCGGCTTGGCCGGGCAGCAGAGCGCATCCGGTGAGGGATCACGGGCGGAGGGCTGCAACAGAAGCTTGATTTGGCGGCGGGCTGTGCTATACACCCTGGGAGCGTGCTGAACTAGGATCATTAGCACCAGATGGAACCGAAGGGTCAGTGTGAGATGTGGACATGCCCGTGGTTTGAGTGGTCTCGGCTGCGCGCAGTTCATTCTATGTTGTCGGATGACGGACACAGCTCAGTGCTCGTTTACCGAAACTTTGCTTGCACCGTCTTTGCATCTTCTTACGGCTTTCGATCCATCTGAAGTTCAGGGCCTGCTTCCTCGTAGCCTCCCCGAGCCTGTGTCTTCGTGCTTTTCAGGGCCGGGGTATGGGCAAGAGTTTTCAAGAAAAGAATGCCTTGCCGGCAACGCACTTTTCCAGACTTCACCCATCATTGCACACCCTTCGGTCGGAAGCTCGGGACAGCCCTGTCGAGGCCACCAGCAGCCCAGCCACGTGGCTGTTCATCGAACTCAGCGTTTGCGGCGGATGATCTTCACCAAGAGTTGCCCTGCCTCGGAAGCTCACGTCATTCGCTCTGCATCACTTCAAAACATCAGAATCATGCTCTGGAATCCGGTAAGTGAAGTTAAAGGATTCGGCAATTGAAGATCTGACCCCACCACATACTTCAATCAGCACATCCAGCCCTGAACACAGTCCAAAGAATTCGTCTCAGCCCAAGATATTCAACGACCGCGGTAGTGCGAGGAGTTGCAAACATGTGTGGACTATACTCTGGCTGCAAGTTCAGATTGCACCCGTCACTGTCACCTACATCAACCCAAAAAACACTCGTTCGGAAACGGTGCATACGTCACAAAGGTACCTACTTCTGCCTCCTCTGCTTCAGCCACTTCCGTGCACGAGACCATCAGACACAGCCCTGAAAGCCTGAGCCAGCTGGCTGCTATGCGAAAAAACCACTGAAATCCTGCTTCTCAGACCCTGCTCGAGCACCTGAACATGTAGTGATGTAGCCCTAAACCCTATAAACCCTAAACCCTAAACCCAAAGGGCCGGCCATGAGAGCTGCTTGGCCTGGAATCTGTAACCCATATCTGGGAAGTGTAGCGGCCAAACCCCGCTTTAGGGTTTAGGTTTCGACTCACACACTCGCACAAGGCAGGCATGGCAATGAGGTTCCGAGCTTGCTACGTGAACATGCTGAACAGGCGAGCAGAGAGCGAGCACCAACGTGACCAAAATCGAATGAAGTAGAACAAACACGACACCGATTGCTCTCCATGCCCTCTGTTCCAGCCGCTCACTGTCTTTGTCAGCGCAGCGAGGTCGCTGCTTCTGTTTCAAAAGAATATACGTTGCCATCAACATGCACTGTAGGCGCACTGTCAGCGGTCAATTATGCCACTGCCCAGTGCAAGCGTTCTCACCTGTACTCATGCTCAAAAGTGGGTCACCATGCAGAGGACATCTCAAGGCCGCCACACTGTGCGACAAAACTCCGGATACCTCCACCACAGACTGCCCCCAGTACTG